ATGGACAGGTTGAACCACATTCTCATTACACAGAAACAAGGGAAGTAGTTCCCACATAGCCAAGATGAAACAAACAACTTGAAGAAAGGAATAATGAAATTCAGCAAAGAGCTCAAACATTTCTCCTCCAACAAAGACATTTAAATTACCACTATTTGCTAACAAAGACTAATGAAATACAAGGATCTATATAGCAACTGAAAAATAAAGGTTGAGGTGGGTCCTCTCATTTCATTTTTCTCTCCTGCAAGTTACAGCCCTACAACTCGCTACAGCATTTGCCTTTTGTGTAGCATATGTTGGCTTGTGTTCAATTTCAGACCCAAAATAACCCACATATTTTATTCCTAAAAACAGCTACTTAATCGCATGCCCCACATCCTGCATTTGTGCATTCAACTATTCTTACCGAAGTGTAAGACTTCACATTTTTTCTCCTTCTGAACTTTGCTTTTCTTTTTCCCCAGATCTCAGTACTCCATTTTGTTCAAATAATTTTAAATCCTAGCTTCCACCTCACACACATGCAGTCAATGAGATTATAACTGCTGCTATCTCTTTGCAAGGACTTCAGACAAACATCCTAACCACTTGTGTAAACAATTTGCAAAATTATAGTTCAAACCTTCTCTTTCTTTCTGGAAACTGAAAGCTCCTCCTGCTGGCCTTTTGTTGAATTAAAGAAAAACAAAAATAAATACTTGCCAAACCAAGGAAATAAAAAAAATGCAACAATAAGACTACTGGTATTTCAGTATCTGGTGTTGAGACAAAGCTAAGAAAAGAAATCTGACTCTACAGGAAGCAAAGAATAAAAGATAACTCCAAGGATTTGCCTAAAAGAAAGAGATTATCCAGACTATCAGAATGAGATAGTATGAAATCCAATTTTTTCTTTGCATGGCAAAGAATCTGCTGCCCTGATATAAAGCAGCGATTACTAATTATTTTCCTACTGCAGTTGAGGAATAAAACAAGTTAAAATTTGAACTACAGAGGTAAGAAATCAAAAGATGACTCACAGTCACAAACATTACTGAGTACTCTTCTCACGTAAAACTATCTTGAAGAAACTACCAGAATTTTAGTCATAAGTTTTTATTACTTCTGATTGAGTATGATTTGTATAAAGAATCAAAAGGTGGCTTTATTGCTTAAAATATAAATTTTATGAGGGTAACTATTCAACTTTGGTGGGCTTAAAAACACACCATGCTAACAGCCAACAGCAGAGTTGCAAAGCTCTACTTGAAAAGTAGTATTTCTTCATCCCACATCTCTTTGACAAAAGTTCAAAACAGATTTCCAGATTACTTGAGTCAGACACAGAACAGTTTGAGCCACCAAACTGTACAAAGTTAGATAATCTTGTAATTATTTCAAGTGACTATCGAGTACAAGATCAATATAAGAGATGTGTTAATTAAAACTCATTATACACAGATGAATCCAGGTTAACCCAGTAAAGCCAGCAAATACCTATCAGTAGCGATACCCTCAGAATGGGGAATTAATTTACTGCTTGAAGTTCACCTGAGAGTCTGAATGCAAACATTAGCACTGTTCCAATTTTCTGAGATTGCCAAATATTACACGGTTTGAGGAGAACAAATACCAGCAGAATAATACCATCACCCAACTCTTAATACTTTGCATCCAACTTACTTGCTCCTTAAATGGCAGTGAATTCTGAAATCTTTTATTTTTTTTTCTCTACCATTCCTCACAGTGTTGGGAAAACATTTTTCTTTGGGGTTTTTTTGTTTGGTTGGGTTTTTTTTGGAGGGCACCCCAAAACCAAACCTCTATATTGTAGGAGGAGAGAGGTCCGTCCCAACCAACATGAAATAAACCAGATCACAGTATCAGGACACCAAGCAAACAATTTCAATTTCAGCGAGCAAGTCTTTTATTCTAATGAGATCCAAAAGAAAAGCTTGAATTATGCACATCTTCTGGGTACTCCTTGGCATTGCAAAGTTTTCAACAGTCTTCGGAAGCTAATTTATCACTGACTGCATAGACATTGTAACTGAAGCCCCTATAATACACGATTAAGGTCAGCCTTCAAAGATGACTCATCTCTCTCTCTCTAGGTCACTCTCCATGTTCTGCAATCAGCTTTCACTTGAACTCTGTACCATTTGCAGATGAGTCAACAAAATCTTAATCCCACCTTTTTGATTTATCAGTAACTTAAACTGGTAATTGTGTTTTCCACTTCAGTGAGCTAGACAAACTCAGAAATTTGCCTGCTTTCTTAGTTTGGAACTGACAGAGTGTTTACTAAACTACTATAAATAGCTGCAAACTTCAGAAAAGCAAAAGCACTGTTTAGATGGCCAAAATCTTTTTGGGACAACCTTGTTGATAACAATTCCATACTTGTTTAGTGAAAACCTATTCTTTTTTTCCCCCACTCGTTATCAGGTCTCTCCCTCCAGACCCTTTCCCTTCTGGTTATGTGAGGCAGAAACTTTCTAGGGTGGCATTTCATAGAAAGTTTTCTCTTCTCAGGCTCAGAGTACAGTTGGACCTAGAGCTCCCAGACCATGCATCTTCTCTTCCAGTATGGTCATAATGCACTGCATGCAAGAACTGAATTTTCACAAGAAAGTAAAGATATGGCACATCCAGGGGAAGTCACATTTATTATTCCTTCATTATCCATACTGGTCACCTACGCTGGAAATCATGCTCCCCCTCCAGTATTCCCCACTTGTCATTCCAATTCATCTGGCTCAGCAGTTCTGATAAATAAGCCAGTCACCAGTCATTATCACTGCTCAACTAAACAGCCACGTCAACAGGGAGGGATTAATTACTTTTGGACTTTGAAGACCTGCAAGACCTTTAACAAGATACAAGAAAGAGATAAGTAGAATTAAGTGCTCTACATATTCATTTCTCAGAGGAAAGAGTAACTAACAAATTATTAAAAATACAGAAATCAAAAATCAAGATTGCTTTAATAATTTTCTTGAGAATACATGTAAACCTGTGGTACTCATTTATTTATAATATCATTCAGGCCCCGAGTTTGTCATTAAACTTGGGTCTAACATTTAAACATGTAACACCTATGCTTGCATAAGATAAAATACGCAAGATGCAAACCAGAGTTTTCCAGAACATTTTTAATTTTCATTTTGAAGCAGCAGATGCTGGCAGTCACCAACACAGACGGGAGCATTGGAACAGATCATGAGCAAAACATCCAAGATCTCGTGCTGTTGCAGTTAATATAACGTATATAACATGCTCTGAAATGCAATGTTGTACGTATTAAGAGGCATAGAGTGGACACAGAGAAGAGATAACAAAAAGATTTTAATTATCATGCAAGCTATTTTTAAAACTCTTAGAATTTGTAATACTCTTAACCTTATTTTGCATGACTGAGACTTGTGATCTGGAGTGCTGCATATTCCTCATTCATCTTACAGTCCTAACAGCCAAGGAGGTCTGTCACCTTACATCGACAGCAAGCAGAACATCTTGTGTTACGAAAAATACATCTTGAAAAGCAAATTTCAAGCATTAATGCCCAATTTTGTCAATTTAAAAGTGCAGGAAGAAACTTTTTACATTACCATGTTGAGATAACTTACTTATCTAGTCCTCTTTACATAAAAAGGTATTTTTAAAGACCTGTCTAGGTTTCACAGTAATCAATTACTACCACCAACTGCCCTTTGATGAGGTATTTAAAGGCAAGTTATACTTGTCCAACATACATTAGTCCCTCAAGCTAACCTGACCTTTAATGACAAATATGCTTCCAAAAAAAATAAATCATACGCGCAAATAGAGTTAAGCCTCATTATTTTCAGACCTCAAACTCAGAAGTGCTACGTGCAAACACTGGCAAGTACACAGCACTGTAAAGTCAAGGGAGAAAAAAAATAAATACCCATTTCATGAACATATTGCCCTTACAAGTTACTCCTACAGCTGCCCCCTGAGTCTAAGTAAGTAGGAAAAAAAATTATAATAGCTTCCCGACACTAAGTTCAAAGTCCCAAAACACAAGTCAATCATCTCACAAGACAAGACAAGCGAGGTAAGGGAGTAAGTGCACAGGGAAGGGCGGATCTCGCTCGGCATCACAGACCAACACCGCCACCCGACGACGGGAGCGCAGATCACTTCATTAAAAAACAAGCAAATAACACCCCCCCCCCCCCCCCCCCCCCCCAAAAAAAAAAAATCAATAATGCGAATACGATTGCCCTTGGTAGTGAAACTACGTCGTCAATCGTGTTATCGCCTGACCAACTCCAGAAAAATTTACAAATATTACAAGACACGTGTGCAGGACTAATCACCGTTTTCCTGTAGCTCAGCCTAAAACGCACGAATAAAAAAAAAAGCAAACCGTGAGTCATCATTGGGCTCCTATAAAGACACTATTTAACTTCCCACGTACAGGAAAGTCACCTAAAGACTATATAAACAACTTTAAACTTACAATGGGAACCCCAAGAAGCAAATTATTCGTTAAATCGTATAACACACAGACAGCGTAATACAAACCTGGTGAAACAGCACTCTTTACGGCCTACAGAAAATAATAGCAATCCCATGAAACATTACACCTAAGTACAGAGACTATGGCATGGGAGTGGTACCAGAAAAAAAAAAAAAAAACAAAAAACCACACCACCTACCTTGTTTCACAATAAGAAACACAATCTGAGTTTGTAAAATAGTTGTATGGGGGTGTTTGTAATATTATGTGCAAAAACATTTAACCAATGATAAAAGCAAAACCAAAAAAGCCATCGCTGCCTCTGGACAGAGGAATAGGAGCAAGAAAATGTTAACCAACCCTCCCTAAATTTCTGAATTTCCCTTGGGCGGGGGTAAAAGGATAAAAACTGGTGTGGATGTAGTTTTATTTCTGCCCCTATCTGATTAAAAAGTAATCCGGAGCTCTGTACCTCGCTATCATGATGAATCATGGTCTTCCTGTACCAAGACTCGCCGACCAGTCTTACCTTAAAATTACTAGAGTTGACCCATCCTGTTAATTCGTCGATCACTTTGTCGAGGCGTTGCTGGTCCTGCTCCAGATCGGAGGACCTCACCGGGTCGCTCAGGTACTCCAGCAGCTCCTGGCCGATCTGCATCCTGCGGCCCACGTCCTTCTGCTGTACCTGCTCGCAGAAATAATCCATACCGGCAGGCTCCATCCTCGGCCGCTGCGGAAAAGTTTTTTCGGAGACGAACCGACCGACTTCAGGGTCGGAAACGCGGCCAGGACAGGGCGGGAGGCAGGGGGAAGGAAACGCCCGGCGAGGCGGCGATCCCCGGCAGGGCCGCGGCGCTCA